CGAAAAACGAAATGTGATGTGATTGGTTAGCTGTCCCAGTGCATTTTCAGTACTGCCCCACCCCTTGCCAAAGCAACAAGTTTAGTTAAAGGAGCACTCCACTATTTTTGAAAATAGGCTCATTTTCCAACTCCCCTAGAGTCAAACAGTTGAGTTTTATCGTTTTCGAATCCATTCAGCCGATCTCCGGGTCTGGCGGTAGCACTTTTAGCTGCAGCTTAGCATAGATCATTGAATCTGATTAGACCGTTAGCATCTCGCTCAAAAATGACCAAAGAGTTTCGATATTTTCTCAACCAAACGTTCTAACCACAACCTCGCCCCTCCCCACCCCCCAACCATTCGAATTTCCGTAGGCGGGAATTATTTTAATGATATTTTAATGGGCCGCTTTGTGATATCACAAAACCCTGAAAACAAACGCTGTAGTCCAAACGAGCCGTTCGTTGTAGTTCTTGAAAAGGGATTTTTTTTAAACGAAATATCTGTCTTTGGACTTTGAGATTTGTAAGTTTGTAGATCTTTTTTATGCCCAAACATACACGCTACACACTGACTAAAATTCAAAAAGTGAAAAAGCATAATAGGACACCTTTAAAAACAACAAAACTGGTCCCTATTCACGTCTATTGTAAGTGTCTCACTGTAACTTTGATTTTTACTTTTTTTTTTAGAAATCGAGGGATGAATCAAACTATTTTTTATTCCATAAACGCTGTCGATTGAGCTAAACTTGTACTGAACCTGTAATATTATTCTTTTCATGATCTTTAGAACAATAATGGTCATGGCTATGACATCTTTGTTTGACTGGACTGATGTAATTCAGAAGCTGGTAACAAGGCATGAGGACATATGAATGATAACAATAATAAATTAATTTCTTCACATGCAGTAGATGACATTACTCGTATACAAGCAAAACACAAAGTAAATTATCAATAACTCATATGTGGCAAAAGTTGTCAATAATAGATTTTTCTCCAAACATATTACTATATACATGCAAGTTAACTCTTACACTTAAGAAGTGTGCTTTTGTTATCACTGTATAACTAAACTATAGCTAGCTAAGCACATTTATGCCACATTCCATTTGTACTTGGAAGTTGGAAATTCCGAGTTCCCAGTAGGACTTTTAACTGGAACACCCTCCCAAGTGGGAGTTCTGACTTGGAATCTCATAGGAATCACAAGAACTCCAACTTCAGAATCCAATATGGCTGCTCAGTGCATCAGCAAAAGAGAAACAGTAGTAATATATTGTTTATTAGCACTTATGTTTGTCTGTGTCTCAAACTCAGTGGTGCACACAGTACTATCCAAACTGTATGTATGGACATGATACTATGGCATTATCTGTGCAAAATACCGCTTTTTATGTGTTTTTAATCGACTGGTATTGCTAACAATGGACACGTCCATCTTGGTTTTCTGATTTCTATACTGTGATGTCATTACCAGCTCCGACACCCGACTTTTGAGGTAAATTTATTTGAATAGTTAAAGTGAAGTGTTCACCTGAGTCTCTCTGTTGTGTCTCTCTGGGTCTCTCTCGTAGCTCTCGGCGTAGATGCGAACAGTGGCCCCGGTTCCAGCACCAGAACCACTGAGCCGGAAGATGATTCGGGACGAGTCTGTGAAGATGATCCTTAGGCCCTGCAGGACAAGTGCAGAAACAGAAATACAGTTCATTTTAGTGCCAACAAATCTGATTGATCATTGAGTTGTTCCTTGAACCTACAACCTTCAGTTACCAGCCCAAAACATTAACTAGTATGCTATACCACAATATAATTTAAAAAAACATTTGGGATGTGAAGCACAAATAAGCTGTGAAAACGTTGAACACTCAACGTGGCACATTCATGTTAAGGCTCTTTTAAAATGGACATTTATGAAAATGTAGGCTGGTTTTACTACTTGGATTTCCCTTGTAATTCATAAAACTATCCACTAGATGTCAGAAAAAACTCTATTCTGAGCCAAACTCTATCAGAAAACTGGTCAGCAGTCCAGTGACAGTTAATATTAGATCAAATTTAGATTAGTTTAGTTCATAGTTGCTTAAAAGTGTATTTAAAAAAGTTGTACCACAAAGTTTCTCCCTTGACCACGCTTTAAAAAAAAAGAGAAAAAACATCCCATATCTTATGTTGCTGACATCAAAGGCTGTTCAGCCAATCAAACTCGACAGCATTTTGAAGAAATTCATCTGCCATTTGAAAGCACCTGCCCAAATTAGGTAGATGGAAAAGACATGCACTCATCCTCAAAAATACTTTCAGAATTCAGGAGCAACATAGTTTGTGCTGATAACAGTCAATTATTGGGATTATATAACTATTTACAAATATATGTACATTTACAATACATTGACATAAATTGTATTTTTTCTGTTTACACCTAGGTCATGTAAAAAAATGTTTGCCTATTTATTGTGCTTATTAATCACGCTATTCACTATTAAAAAGTAATACATTTTAATTGGAATTTTATGGACACCCAGTGTTGATGTCTAATTTAAAATATGGGCCCCAAATCAAAACCAGAACCACTGTTATAGATGTAACATTTGTGTTGGTGTGAGTCTGCGTGTGTCATGGTCTCCGACAGCTGAGTGTCTCTTCGGTGGGCCCCTGCAGACATGCAGAGAGGAGGACCGGGACAGCTGACACAATCCGACACTGGGAGGAATGTCTGTTGTAATAATACACACTCAGCTGTGGAGACGCCGGCCGGATGACTGAAGTGACTGTCACGGTCGGTGGGAGATCACTGACTGAGCGACAGGCCGTGACCCCATGTCACCAGTGTCAAATCACACCAAATCATGAGGCTCATAAAGAAGAAATTAATCTGAAATTTACAGTGTCTCTTATGCTCACAAATACGGCACATATTTGATCAAACATATTGTGAAATAATATTCCAATTGAAAAGAAATGTACTTTACTCCTGTTCTGGCAAAGCAGAATTCTCAGCAGCATTACTTCAGTCTTCAGTGTCATACATGATCCCTCAGAAATCATTCTAATTTGCTGCTCAAGAAACATTCATCAATATCAATGTTGAAAACGGTTGTGCTGCTTAATATTTTTGTGTAAACCGTAATTTTTTTCAGGATTTTTGGATGAATGGAAAGTTCAAAAGAGAGCATTTATTTAAAACAAAAGTAAGTAAATAAATAAATAAATATACTGTTAATTTTGGCTAGTTTATTGTGTCTTTGCTGAATCAAAGTATTAATTTCTGACCCCACAGCTTCTGAATGGTAATGTATAACAACGATTGCCACTCTGATATATAAATGAGATGAGAAGCAGATGAGGTGTCGAAACGCAAAGGGTAAAGTGTCAGGCTAATGTCAAGAGGTCAAGGTTTGGCTGGTTAGCATCCAGTAACCCCCTGCTGGTAGATGCCACAACTACATCCTTTTTGTCTTCGGAGAGATTGTTCTGGAGAGGGAGAAGGTGGTTTCCACAAATTCCAGGTCAGAACAGCGTGAGTCAGCTGGGTAAACTTCAAACACAAGGCTACGCAAGTGTTTATGTGTGTGCGACAGACCACTAAAGGGCTCTGCATCTTGGTACAGCAAATCCAGGCCAGATAAAGATAAAGCATCTCCTGAAACATCCTTCTCCTGTTACTATCAAGCACATGTGCGTCTCTGTGCTTTAGCACATCTTCCAAAATAGGAGTGAGAGAGAGAGAGCAGCTGAATGAAAATTTTAACAGAGTCTCGGCACGTGTATCTTGTTCATTTCAGTCATGCCGTATATACCGTACACACATAAGCAGCTAAGTGTGAATGTAGATGCCCAAACAAGGAATCCCACTCGAGTCCGTGTGCACAACAGGACTCGTGCCGTACTAAATAGCGTATAATTGCTGAGCATAAAACCTTAATGCTCAACAAACCCATGGCAGCTCTTTATATGAGCGACTAAGCTGCAAAATCTCTGACATTTCCCCATTATCTCAGATGAATAAGGTGCACTAGGGACCAATGCGCACATTTGTTTTCATCTCCAAATCACAAGTATTTACACGGTTCATTTCAAATTAATTAAACACACATGTTGTAAAGATTAATTTTCTTTTGTTTGGGCAGTTTAAAGCATGATCATGTTTGTAGTTTGGCTCTCGTCTGGTCTCGCCATAATACAATACAATGCAGTATAATATAATTTTTTTCATCTAGATGACCTTTGCCATCATTAAATGCTCACTTAAAATTCATTTAAAAAAAATTAAACAATAATAATTTAATAACACTGTTAAATGTAAATCTCAAAATGAACATCCATTTTATACTGCACATTATAAAGTTGCCTAAATTCACTTGTATCATCTAAAACAGTTGATTTTTCCCCCAAAGAAAGCAATACTTTTGTTTAGCACGGATGCATTAAATGTATCAAAAGTGACAGTAAAGACATTTATAATGTTACAACAGATACCGCTTTTTATGTGTTTTTAATCGACTGGTATTGCTAACAATGGACACGTCCATCTTGGTTTTCTGATTTCTATACTGTGATGTCATTACCAGCTCCGACACCCGACTTTTGAGGTAAATTTATTTGAATAGTTAAAGTGAAGTGTTCACCTGAGTCTCTCTGTTGTGTCTCTCTGGGTCTCTCTCGTAGCTCTCGGCGTAGATGCGAACAGTGGCCCCGGTTCCAGCACCAGAACCACTGAGCCGGAAGATGATTCGGGACGAGTCTGTGAAGATGATCCTTAGGCCCTGCAGGACAAGTGCAGAAACAGAAATACAGTTCATTTTAGCGCCAACAAATCTGATTGATCATTGAGTTGTTCCTTGAACCTACAACCTTCAGTTACCAGCCCAAAACATTAAAAAAACATTTGGGATGTGAAGCACAAATAAGCTGTGAAAACGTTGAACACTCAACGTGGCACATTCATGTTAAGGCTCTTTTAAAATGGACATTTATGAAAATGTAGGCTGGTTTTACTACTTGGATTTCCCTTGTAATTCATAAAACTATCCACTAGATGTCAGGAAAAACTCTATTCTGAGCCAAACTCTATCAGAAAACTGGTCAGCAGTCCAGTGACAGTTAATATTAGATCAAATTTAGATTAGTTTAGTTCATAGTTGCTTAAAAGTGTATTTAAAAAAGTTGTACCACAAAGTTTCTCCCTTGACCACGCTTTAAAAAAAAGAGAGAAAAAACATCCCATATCTTATGTTGCTGACATCAAAGGCTGTTCAGCCAATCAAACTCGACAGCATTTTGAAGAAATTCATCTGCCATTTGAAAGCACCTGCCCAAATTAGGTAGATGGAAAAGACATGCACTCATCCTCAAAAATACTTTCAGAATTCAGGAGCAACATAGTTTGTGCTGATAACAGTCAATTATTGGGATTATATAACTATTTACAAATATATGTACATTTACAATACATTGACATAAATTGTATCAATGCGCACATTTGTTTTCATCTCCAAATCACAAGTATTTACACGGTTCATTTCAAATTAATTAAACACACATGTTGTAAAGATTAATTTTCTTTTGTTTGGGCAGTTTAAAGCATGATCATGTTTGTAGTTTGGCTCTCGTCTGGTCTCGCCATAATACAATACAATGCAGTATAATATAATTTTTTTCATCTAGATGACCTTTGCCATCATTAAATGCTCACTTAAAATTCATTTAAAAAAAATTAAACAATAATAATTTAATAACACTGTTAAATGTAAATCTCAAAATGAACATCCATTTTATACTGCACATTATAAAGTTGCCTAAATTCACTTGTATCATCTAAAACAGTTGATTTTTCCCCCAAAGAAAGCAATACTTTTGTTTAGCACGGATGCATTAAATGTATCAAAAGTGACAGTAAAGACATTTATAATGTTACAACAGATTTATATTCCATGTAAATGCTGCTTTTTTGAACTTTCTTTTCATCAAATAATCCTTAAAATAATGTACCACAGTTTTCCCAAAACTATTAAGCAGCACAACTGTTTTCAACATTGATAATAATAAGAAATGTTTCTTGAGCACCAAATCAGCATATAAAACTGATTTCTAAAGGATCATGTGACACTGAAGACTGGAGTAATGATGCTGAAAATTCAGCTTTGTCATCACAGGAATAAATTATATTTCAAAATATATTCAAATAGAAAACAGTTCTTTTCAAGTTTAATAATATTTCACAATATTACTGTTTTACTGTATTTCTGATCAAATAAATGTAGCCTTAATTGGTGAGCATAACATTAACAAACTCTTACCAACACGTGCTGAACCCAGCAGAAAACATGTTGAAAATGCACTGTAAAACTATTTAGCAACACAATATTTTGCTGTTGTGAAGCAACATAAAATAAAGGAGCATTTTCTGTCTCCTAACTGAATGCGTATGAATGGACATTAATTTAGCAGAAAGTCTACTCTAGTGTGACTGCAATTTGACAGGCCATCTCTCATGTTCTCTCGAAGCGTTGAACTGACCTGTTTCCTGGACACACTGCCGTCCACTGGGTCAATGTACTCAAAATTATCAGCCTTCTCCACACTGTAGATGTTATTGCCCACAGAAAACTTCTGAGTGGTAAACGCTTTATCAATGATAACAGCTTCCAGATCTCTCATGAGGTAATACGCTGCCCTGCTGTCCACCCCTTCATAGTCAAACCTGTCAGATAGAAAATAAATACAACAAACACTATATTAGGTCAATGTAAATGAAAGATTACAAACATAACCTAATAGTACCTACACTGATAAATCACGGGTTCGTGGCAATTTGGAGAGCTCCCAGGATTTTCACATGACATCTACAAGTAGAGCTAAATATGGTGAATATGGGAAAGGCAAAAACAATCCAGGCACACATGAAAGAGATTCTGCCTACTCTACTCTGTCTCATAGGAAAAGTCATTGAGAGGGTGGGTACTGTAAGTAAACACAAAGAAATATCCTGAAATGTCACAAGAGATATGAAGACTGATGATAGAAATGAAGCTTGGGAAGATGCTGTTTTGGGTTTAGCTCACCTGCAGAAGTAGTTGCGTCCCATTTTGGCCCAGTGATCTCTCACTATTTCTTCCACCCCCTGCTTACGCACTGCCAGGATGGACAACCATACCAGAACTGACCACAGGCCGTCTTTGTCTCGGATGTGGTCTGAACCTAAAAGAAATTGATAAAATGAGTCATATTTTGATAGTTTTGGTTTACACTACTGCACAAACGTTTAGGGACGGTAAGATTTTTTATGAACCGTAAGATTCTTATGTTCACCAAAGGTGCATTTATTTGATCAAAAATACAGAAAAATGGTGAAATATAATTACATTTAAAAATAACTTTTCTATTTTAATATATTTTAAAATGTAATTTATTCCTGTGAGGGTAAAGCTGAATTTTCAGCAGCCATTACCTCAGTCTTCAGTGTCACATGATCCTTCACAAATCATTCTAATATGCTGATTTGAGTTGTTGTGCTAAATTATAGAAATTGTGATACATTTTTTAGGATTCTTTGATGAATAGAAAGTAGAAACAACAGCATTTATTTGAAATAAAAATCGTATGTAACATTATAAATGGCTTTACTGTCACTTTTAAACAATTTAATGCATGCTCACTGAATAAAAGTATTCTTTAAAAAAAAACAAAAAAACATACTAACCCCAAACTTCTGAACATATTTTTGAGCAATTTAAATAATAAAAGTCTTGAACAAAACCTAAAAAGCCCAGATGAGTCATGTGAGACGGCTCTAAATCGGGAGATGATAATGATAAAATGAAAGCACTCACTCCCCTGGTCAACTCTTCATCTGCTAGATTTATGCTCAACATCTTCTCTATGACTTTTGTTCTTTGATCTGGTTTATTTCATGTAATCATATGTCAGGAAAGTGTATCCGACAGCTGCTCTCTGTGTGTGACTAATGCCAGAGTATTGAAAAATGCTCAGGCCTACCGCATATCACATCAGCAGCCAAAGACTGTTGTAAGCCAACATAATGTTGTATAATTAGTTTTGACCCCTAAAATCAATAAAACACAATAAAGTTCACTTCAAAAGCAGATTTTAACATCTTTCAGCTTGTCAGACTATTATCTGCTAACTTTCCCTCAGCCTACAAAACAATAAGCATGACGCAGAAGCGAACTGGTTCACAGCCAAAAGGGAAACTTGCTAAATGCCAATGTTCCATAAACACTCAATTTGTACCAGATACCAATACTATGAATGCATAGTATATGTATGTCTAGCAGTCGAGAATGCTTTGTGAAAAAATTGACTGACAGGAAGGGAAGAAGAAAAGTGACCCATGACAGCAGAGTAATCCTGAAGCAAAGTCGTAACATGGTGAATAATGAGCAGGCTGCTCTTTTGACACCTACAGACAATGCCTCGTGTCTCACTCAAGGTCTCAGTGATGGTGTAAAACCCAGAGGCTTTACAGATCGACCCTGCTGCCTCACAGAGCCAAGCGTCTGTCTGCCCAGCAACATCATTCAGCGCCAGTTGCTTATTCCACATTAAGCTGCCAACCATAACACAACCATTCAATACCATGCAGGGGCTCACCTTCACATATGGGAGTTCCTACAACTATACGCTCTCAGGAAAAAAGTACAAAGCAGTCACTGGGGTGATACCCTAAGGTATCCCTACATCTTTTTACCTTATTTACACTTAACTGGTAGAGAGCTCTTGGATTTAATAAAAAATATCTTAATTTGTGTTCCAAAGTTGAACAAAGGTCTTACAGGTTTGGAACAACATGAGGGTGAGTAATTGATGACAGAATTTTCATTTTTGGGTGAACTATCCCTAAAAAGCCCATGTTTTATTCACCCTCAATGCATCCTAGGTGTATATGACTTTTTTCTTTCAGATGAATCCAATCGGAGTAATATTAAAAATGGTCCTTGCTCTTCCAAGCTTTATAATGGCAGTGGGTGAGTGTTTTTTTTCAACAGTCCAAAAGTAGTCAAATAAAATGCACCCATCCATAATAAAACGTGCCTCACATGGCTCCGGGGGGTGAATAAAGGCCTCCTGTAGAGAATCAATGTGTTTTTGTAAGAAAAAAAATCTATATTTAAAACCTTATAAACAATTTTCTTTCACTTCTGTTAACTGTCATACACGGAAGCTGTTCTGGGTGGATGACTTGAGGGTGAGTAAAACATGGGCTAATTTTCATTTTTGAGTGAACTAACCCTTTAACTCATTTTTGGGACTAAAGAACTATATACACTAATTTGGAATAAATCTCTTTCCTTCTCACTCCTTCAACAGCTTCTTCTGTGCCCCCACCCTGTGCTTTTGTGAGAAAAGCAGAGGAGTAGTCGTTTGCTTTTTCCAGCAGAAACCACTCTCACTTTCTCACTATTTCAGATGATTCACTATCCTTTTATAGCAGAACACTGATAAAGAGCTACAGTTTGGAATGTATCTCAGAATGCATGTACTAATAAAGACCTACATCTGAAAATGTCAATGAGATAAAACGTCATAATGATTCTTTAAAGGGATAATTCACCCAAGAATGAAAATTCTGTCATTAATTACTCAGCCTCATGTCATTGCAAACCCGTAAGTTCATCTTCGGAAGTCCTAATAACCCAATAACTGCATGCATATCTAGTTGATCAGATGAAGGTTTTGATTGCACTAAAGGGATAGTTCACCCAAAAATGAAAATTCTGTCATTAATTGCTCACCCTCATGTCGTTCTAAACCCTAAATCTTCGGAACACAAATTAAGACATTTTAGATGAAATCCGAGAGCTTTCTGACCCTGCACAGACGGCAACGCAACTGAAATGTTCCCAGGCCTAGAAATAAGGACATCGATAAAACGGTCCATGTGACATCAGTGGTTCAACTGTAATGTTATGAAGCTACAAGAATAAATATGCGTCATGGTACTGTTGTAAACACGTGTCGAATTCTGACATGGAAGAGCAGAAAATGATGAATAAAGATATTTTTGTTTTCTTTGAGCACAAAAAGTATTCTCATAGCTTCATAAAATTAAGGATTGAAACACTAGTATCACATGGACTATTTTAACGATGTCCTTACTACCTTTCTGGCCGAATGTGGTAGTTGCGTTGCTGTTTATGCAGGGTCAGAAAGCTCTCGGATTTCATCAAAAATATCTTAATTTGTGTTCCAAAGATATACGAAGGTCTTACAGGTTTGGAACGACAAGAGGGTGAGTAATAAATGACAGAATTTTCATTTTTGCGTGAACTATCCCTTTAAGAATGCTTTCTTTTGTGTTTAAAAGAAAAATAACGTAATATGAGTTCCCTTTCGATACTACACCCGTACTGCGTCTGCTAGACGCACACGGGAAAAAAGCCTTTTTCTCCTAAACTGAAGCCTTTTCATTCACGCAGTGAAACTGCATGGCCATTGGTTCATGCAGTGTTTTAAAAACGAACCAATGGCTAGGCAGTGGAGCTGCACGAGCTTATGGCGATGAAGCCCGCCAAAGCCAGCCAGAATGGGCGGGGCATCTGGCTATATAAGCGGGCGTTCGCCACAGGATTCTCAGATTTCTTCTCCTTCAGCGACGACTCTACGTCCTCAAGCTGATCCGAAGCCGCTTGCCGTTGACACGCCTTCGCAGCTGGAATCGGAACCTCTCAGCACGGCTGACCTGCTTCTCCGCCGCTCCAGCGACGCAGCAGTTCCGGTCCAGTTCCCCTGCCCCCATTCGGCGATATAAAAGAGCTTCTAAAAGAGCAAATTGGCGTTGTTGCAAATGCCACGCCGTTACTGCGGTTTGTCCGGGTCTCCCCTGCACGCCGATGACGGCCACACGGAGTGCGTTTCCTGCTTGGGGAAATCCCATGCGGAAGTTGCGCTCACGGGAGCTATTTGCTCCCACTGCGAGCGCTTGAGTCTCACCCTCTCTCCGCTCACGGAACGCTTTCTTTTCAGAGAGCGACTCCGCCCCCCGCGCCCTCCCGTTTTTTTCCTCTCAGGGACCTGTGAGGAAAAAACAGCGGGGCAAATGGGTCGAGCGACAAGCTGCGAGCGAGCGAGCCCACGTCGGCCCAGATCCTGCGTGCCTCACTCTCGCCCCAGAGAGAGTATTCCCCCATCCTTTTCTCCCGGTCTGATCAGCGTCCCTCTGCTGGTGCGAGCGACCTGATCTCATTTGGGGGAAGTGAGGACGAGCTGCTTGATGACAGCATGTCATTGGCAGCATCGGATGCAGAGGAGCTGTTGGGCTCGGTGAATGACCTCACCCCTCGCCATTGTCCGCGCCCAGCGCCACCAAAGACGGGATGGATGCCGAGCTTCTCCGTATCCTCTCCAAAGCAGTTGAAGAGCTGGGTTTAGAGTGGTCTCCGGCCAGAGGAGCCCTCTCGCAGCCGTCTGGATGAGTGGTTCCTGCCGGGGTGCCGCCAGGCCCCTCGTCAGCGTGCCTCTCCGTTTTTCCCGGAGGTCCATGATGAGCTCACCAGATCATGGCTCAATCCCCTCTGGTTTTAGAGTGGTCTCCGGCCAGGGGAGCCCTCTCGCAGCCGTCTGGATGAGTGGTTCCTGCCGGGGTGCCGCCAGGCCCCTCGTCAGCGTGCCTCTCCGTTTTTCCCGGAGGTCCATGATGAGCTCACCAGATCATGGCTCACTCCCTACTCCGCCCGCCTCCGTACTGCTTCTTCATCCGCCCTCACTTCCATTGATGGCGCTGAAGAAAAGAGGTACGATAAGCCACCTCCCCTAGATGAGTCAGTGGCCGCGCATCTCTGCCCACCCACGGCCAACGGCTGGAGAGCAAAGGCCAAGCCGTGTAGGACCACTTCAGCTCTCGCTGGACAGGCAGCTTTGGCACTTCATTCAATGGCGGTCCTCCAGGTCAAAATCCTTGCATCCTCCGATGAGTCTGGCCTGGCTCTGCGTGCCACCAAGACCACCGCCCAGGCGATCGGGAGATCGATGGCTAGCCTTGTGGTGCTCGAGCGCCATTTGTGGCTGACGCAGACAGAGATTAAGGATGCAAATAAGATCCCCTTCCTCGATGCTCCAGTCTCTCCCAAAGGCCTTTTCGACCCGGCGGTCGAAGGATTCGCTGAGCGCTTCACGGAGGCACAGAAATCGTCCCAGGCTATGCAACATTTCCTGCCTAAGCGCTCCAGCTCCGCTGCTTCCTCCGCTCACCCTAAGTCTGCGCCGACTTAGCAACCCACGAAACCAGCACCTGCCGCCCTTGCCGTTCAGCCCGCTAAAGCGCAGCAGACGCGGGGACGCTCTCGATTGGCCAAACGCTACCCTCGTCCTAAGTGCCAGGGACCCCAACCCAAGATTGCGTTGGACCCAGCGCCTCAGGCATCATCCCTGAGCGCTTCACGGAGGCACAGAAATCGTCCCAGGCTATGCAACATTTCCTGCCTAAGCGCTCCAGCTCCGCTGCTTCCTCCGCTCACCCTAAGTCTGCGCCGACTTAGCAACCCACGAAACCAGCACCTGCCGCCCTTGCCGTTCAGCCCGCTAAAGCGCAGCAGACGCGGGGACGCTCTCGATTGGCCAAATGCTACCCTCGTCCTAAGTGCCAGGGACCCCGACCCAAGATTGCGTTGGACCCAGCGCCTCAGGCATCATCCTGATCTGCCAGACAGGAAGAGGACGAGGTCAGATCTCGCTACGGCCGGACCACCCCTCAAGCAGCCTCTCTTAGACCTCTTGACACCCCGTTAAACTCCGGGTACAGAGGGAAATGTGTTTTGTGCAAACAACGGGTCCGTTCATGCGCCCAAGCATTCAACCGCTGTGATAGAGGAAAAAATAAACCACAAACATTTTCAAAAAGAGAGCAAACTTCCTCTTCCATTACTCATAAGTGTTCTGCCCCCGTGCGGCCAGTCACCCGAATTAATTCAACCCCTCGCCACGCGGGCCGAGACCTGGCAAGCCATCCCCGGAGTGTCGATATGGGTTATGGGGATAATAAAGCGAGGATATTCACTCCAATTCGCTCGAAGACCCCCGCACTTCAGCTGCGTGGTCCCCACCTCAGTGCAGAGCAAGGACGCTCATGTTCTGTATTCAGAGGTTCAGAGGTGCTGAATTTGCTGGCAAAAGGAGCAGTGGAAATGGTTCCTCCTGCCCAGACAAAGTCAAGCTTTTACAGCCGTTACTTCCACGTCCCCAAAAGAGATGGTGGCCTCTGACCCATCCTCAATCCCCGACACCTGAATCGCGCCCTCATGAAGAGGTCGTTCAGGATGATTACACTGAAACAGATCCTCGCTCAAATTCACTCGGGAGACTGGTTCTTTTCTCTGAACCTGAAAGATGCATACTTTCACATCTAGATACCCCCCCCCCCGTCACAGACGATTCTTGAGATTCGCCTTCGAGGGAGGGGCTTATCAATATACGGTCCTTCCCTTCGGGCTGTTCCTGGCCCCCGCACCCCGAAGTGCATGGATGTGGCTCTCTCCCCTTTGAGACAGATGGGAATCCATATTCTCAATTACCTTGACGACAGGCTCGTTCTGGCCCAGTCGGAGGCAGAAATAATATCACACAGGACCCTCCTCCTCAGCCACCTGGAGTGCCTGGGACTCAGGGTCAATTTTGCCAAGAGGTCGTTGTTCCCCAGCCAGCGAATTTCATTCCTGGGAACAATTTATGACTCAGCCCAAATGAAAGCTGTAGGCACGTGTAGGCACTGTGTGAGGGCATACAACTTTCGGCCACTGGTCGAAGGTGGAAAAGGGCTTCCACATCAACTGCCTGGAAATGCTAGCAGTATGTTGAGCCTGTCAGTTCTTCCTGCCAGTCCTAAAGGGGCAGCATGTGGTAATCCGATCGGACAACATGTCTGTGGTGTCCTACATAAATCGCCAGGGAGGCCTCTCCTCGAAGCGTCTCTTCACTCTGGTAGAGCGCTTCTTAGAATGGGCTCAACCCAACCTGCGCTCGCTGGGAGCAGCGCATATACCGGGCAAATTGAACCAAGGAGCGGACATGCTATCAAGGAGCAATGTCCCCTCAGGGGAGTGGACGCTCCATCCGCAGACGTTTCAGAGGATCAGGAAGATCTTCGGCGAGGCCGAGGTGGACCTCTTCGCCTCAGAAGACAACTCTCACAGCCCAATCTATTTCTCAAAGACCAGGGACGCGTTGGCCCAAGATTGGCCCAACCTCCTTCTTTATGCTTTTCCCCCAATCGCTCTGATCCCATAGGTAATCAGGCGAGTGAGGGAACGAGAACACAAGGTTCTCCTGGTGGCCCCCCTTTGGATGAACCAGCTGTGGCTATCGGAGCTAACTCAGCTATTGATAGCGGCCCCTTGGCCTGTTCCGCTGAGACAGGATCTCCTCTCTCAAGCGAACGGGACAATATGGCATTCTCGGCCCGACCTACGGGCCCAGCACCTCTGGGTGCTCGACGGGAGCCTTTGAGCCTCCCAGAGCGAGTCTTAAACACAATTTCGGAGGCTAGAGCTCCGTCTACGAGACACCTCTATGCCTTAAAGTGGTCTTTTTTCTCCGCTTGGTGTCTAAATTGCGGCAAAGACCCCCTTATTTCCGATTTCACAGAGGTGTTGTCATTTCTGCAAGAGCTGCTGGATAAGGGACGTTCCCCATCCACGCTCAAAGTCAATGTGGTGGCTATATCGGCCTCTCATGCCCCTATTGAGGGCCAATCGGTGGGCAGAAACAGCGTGGTCATCCGCTTCCTGAGGGGTGCTAGGAGGCTGAATCCGCCTCGTCCCCCTACCGTCCCTTCATGGCTTTCGAGCTGCTACAGTCTGCCAACATTCAGTCGCTATCGCTGAAGACCGCTCTGCTTCTAGCACTGGCATCAGTAAAGTGAATAGGGTGCTCTCCACTTCGTTCAGAGCACAGGTCATTACGCTCTCTCTGCGCTTCCTCCAACTGAAGAGGACAGAGAGCTATCTCTGCTCTGCCCCGTCAGAGCTCTGAGAATCTGGTATTGTCATTTCTGCAAGAGCTGCTGGATAAGGGACGTTCCCCATCCACGCTCAAAGTCAATGTGGTGGCTATATCGGCCTCTCATGCCCCTATTGAGGGCCAATCGGTGGGCAGAAACAGCGTGGTCATCCGCTTCCTGAGGGGTGCTAGGAGGCTGAATCCGCCTCGTCCCCCTACCGTCCCTTCATGGCTTTCGAGCTGCTACAGTCTGCCAACATTCAGTCGCTATCGCTGAAGACTGCTCTGCTTCTAGCACTGGCATCAGTAAAGTGAATAGGGTGCTCTCCACTTCCTTCAGAGCACAGGTCATTACGCTCTCTCTGCGCTTCCTCCAACTGAAGAGGACAGAGAGCTATCTCTGCTCTGCCCCGTCAGAGCTCTGAGAATCTATATTGCGTGGGGCTTCCGGTTACGAAGCAAAGACTCTCCAGATGGATAGTAGACTTCATCTCGCTAGCGTACTCTTCTTTGGGCCGCCAATGCCCCATTGGAGTACGAGCCCACTCAACAAGAGGCATCGCCTCGTCTTGGGCATGGTCCAGTGGTGTGTCCATTGCGGATATTTGTGAGGCGGCCGGCTGGGCCTCGCCGTCCACATTCGCAAGGTTTTATAACCTGGAAGTCCCGGCCTTGCAGGCTAGGGTCCTTTCCACTTGAAGTGACATGCGCTGCATAAACAGATCTGGCAGAGAGCCCTTGGTCGTATCACGGCCAAGTTCTCTGGCGTGGTTTCACCTGTTAGCTCTCGACCCCTGGGTGTCGAAGTTACGGGAGTACTCTGGAATGATTAACCAGGCCGGGTGTGACCTCGGAAACTCAGCCCGTCTTAGCCTTGGGTTATTGTTAACTTCTCTATGAGCATTGGTTGCTTATGGAAGTTTTATACCTTTAGTCGTTTCAATACATTAGCATGGCGTGATTGTACTGAGTTCCCATATGTGTCTAGCAGACGCAGTACGAGTGTAGTATCGAAAGGGAACGTACTCGGTTACTAACGTAACCTCGGTTCCCTGAGATACGGGAAAGAGTACTGCGTTGCTAGCCGTGCTATGTAGCTGCACGACTCAGTCGTCGCTTCAGTCGAAGTAACCTGAGAATCCTGTGGCGAACACCCGCTTATATAGCCAGATGCCCCGCCCATTCTGGCGGGCTTTGGCGGGCTTCATCGACATAGTACTCGTTCCCGTATCTCAGGGAACCGAGGTTATGTCAGTAACCGAGTACGTTTGGCACAATATACGGACAATACAGTAAATGAAATACATTTTGACAGAAGATTCATGATGACTACTGTAAACGCTCAAGTAAGGCTTATAGAGGACTCTGATGGCACCCACCTGTTCCAAAGCTCTCCTCTCCACAGAAAGAACACCTCCCAGAATCCATCAGGTTGCTAAAGAATCTCCAGCCTGTGGGAGTTTCATAAAGTGCCACCTTCATAGCCTTAGCAACCCTGTAAACAAACAGGAAGCATGAGTATTCCCAGTGCAATCCTACTCAGAGTTTATTTAGACAAGATCAAATCTAAAAAGAAAGACATCATCTCATTGGCTAACAGCATTACCCCTTTGAGTATGTGTAAAATAGTGTAACTAGCTACATGGCACTGCAATGTAAAACTGCAGGTTAAAAGAATAAATGTTCTATTGGTACCTTCAGTAGCAATTTATATATAATATAATATAATATAATATAATATAATAATATAGTGCAACAATAAAAATTGATTTTTCCTTCAGCACAATGTCATGCTACCAAGTGTTTTCAGTGTTTATGAGTGTTAGCAGGACTTGAGCTCTGGACCATGTCAGCTAAAGAAGTCTAGGGAATGTCTTTGCATAATAAGATGAAGATGCATGTTGTCTAGAAGTTTTGTGAACACAAATCCATTTTCAGACCCCTTTTCATCTTTCATCTGGACTGAAGGAAAATGAGAAATCATAAACAGACCACAGGCAGATGGGTGTGCTGTTAGTTTCTAAAAATTACTAATCCATGTTTATATCTAAATACAAGACTATATGGTAAACAGCGACAAAGGACATACTGTGAAAGAAGACAGATGTTGAGGTAATGATCATTTAAAGTACTCCAGGCAAAGAAATTACCATTCGGCTTTCTACACACTCATTTTGTAGTACATTTAGTATCTGTCCTTTTGACTGATTCATAAATTAAACTGCATATTTTGTCTTCTCAATCCAGTGTCTTTATAAGGCAAAAAGCAGAAAGAAACCATGCTGACATTTTGGCTGACATTTATTTTGTGATTCAGCCATGTGCCTGGAGGAGCAAACAGCACTTTAATCATCGGTGTGTAGTCTACACCTGCTTAACTTCCTTATTCTGTCAAACTCCTGCGAGCTGTCACAGAAACAGGCCTACTTCTAGACAAATACTGTCATACAACATTACTCCTAAGACAGCAAGTTTTGTATTCGGGAATTATAATCATTCATGGCTATGAAAATGAAATATATTCAGTGTCAAAATGAAAGAGATCGAGAAAACAAGAGGAGGAACGCAATTACAAGTCTCCTCCTCTGTTTGTTGATTTTGGATAGTTGGCTAGATTCATAACTATTTTCAGACACTGCAGTCTGGCATTATGGGTAATGAGTTGCTGAGATCCCATCAGATGAAGGGATAGATGAGAGGGAACCGATGTAAATGAGAAGAGTAAAGATGCAGCTGTTTACTCATGGGTGGAATTACTAAATATGGGAAAACAAGTGTTATTGACTCAAGGGACAAGGAGCAGAATGGAAAGCCTGGCATATGGACAACAAACTGGAATCTTTGACCCCTTGACTTGTTTTCAATGATTTATTCTCATATTTGTGGCCAACACAAGCAGCACTATCTCTAATCCAGCATCTTTTTTGCATGCATATGTGTTCATGTGGGTGTGACTGGATTTTAACAAACAATTCCATCTAGAAAAGACTTTCCAAAGCATTTGGAAAATAATGTGTTCAGCAGGGTTTTAAATTCGGCAGCTGTTTCTAACCTCAATCTGGCAATAAAGCCAGTTATCAACTGGCAGAATGTTAGCATGAGCTGACAGTCTCATTAAGCTGGTACCCCAATTGAATACAATTTTGAAAGTGAACCTTTGAATACCAACAGTGCTTGAAATTGATCCATTACAATATAAACAAATAGTTTAAGGACTTGGCTACCTTATAAAGTCTAATCTAGTGAGTGGCAGACAAGGACCAAAATTAAGAGTTCGACAACAAATACTGAAAGACACCTTAAAATTACAAACAAATAATCAGCTTTTTATGCATTTTTTTCAGTTCAAAGATTCATATTATTTCATATAAATTGTGAAAACTTTCATCACTGGGATCACCAAATGGAATTGCAAAAGTTGGTTGAGCCAAAAAAAACCCCCAGCTGAAACAAGCTACTTTTCTTTTTTTGGGTATTTATGCAACAACACCTTAGCAAAAGTGTTGTTGTCATGTTTTCATTCATAAATCGGCAAAATATGGCTTACTAATTTAACTGATGGTTCATTCCTGAGTGAATAAGTGTTGTTGAGTGAGAGGGTTCAGTGAATGATTCAATGAATCACTCATTAAGACAGTCGCTTACTTCATTCCTGAAGGAATCAGTGCTGTTGAATAAATCGGTTCAGTGGATAATTCAATGACTAAAGCCCCGTTCACACCAAATACGATAACTATAAAGATAACTATAAAGATAATGATATTAGCATCCATACCAGTGGAAAATCTCATGTATATTCTAAGCGCATGCTCGTCTGCCACTTTAAATTCTCGAGCTCGTTATAGCAGAATGGATTCTGATTGGATGTCAATGTTTGTACCATTCACCAGCTAGAAAAAAAATCATTTTGAAAATGATTCCAACGATATTTTTTCTCTGTGCCTTTATCGTTATAGCTGTGGTGTGGACTCTGTTATTCTTTAATACTGAGAACGATTTTTTAAAACTATATCTTTATCGTTACCTTTATAGTTATCGTCCTTGGTGCAAACGGGCCTTTACTTATAAAGACAGTAACTTGTTTCATTCCTAGGGATGTAATGATTCACTCAACTCACGATGCGATTCAATTCATGATACTGATTTCACAATACGATTTTCTCACAATTTTTTTAAACAGATTTAAGACAAATTAGAAATGAAAAGGTGTCCTTTTATTATTTCTGACATTATTTCTAATTTTTTTGTGAAATTGAAATATGCCAAATAACAAAACTAAATTGAAATTTTAAAACAAAAACACAAATGAAAGAAATCTCTTCATATAAACAAACTAAGGCTTTGTCTGTGCTCTTTCCATTTAAAATTAGAGGCAACCACTGCAATTTAAACACAATCCAAACAAAGATGCTGCATACATGCAGCATAAGCCGTTTTTAATCTAAACTGGATTGTATTTTTTTAAATTTGAAGCAAAAACGGAATGGTCTGACTTTTGTTGTGTGACAGCAGAACAGCAGACAGGCTGAATACGATGCGGATTCACTCTCTGAAAGCAGGTGGTGCTTATGGAACACGCAATATAACGTTTACTTGGTTACCGCTGTACACAAAGCAGTGCTACGTGTAAACACCACTTTAATATGCATTATACGGAGATGAGATAAAATTTGCATGATGCAACATCCATTAAATTTCATATAAAGATGTATACATTTTTGAAACTTTTTATTGAGTCAAAACGTCAGTTTGTGACCACTCCATTATTGGTCAGAAGTCTTTTTTGCTACACAAATTCACAGGTCAAAATTCACCAAATTTTAAACTTTAGTAAAGTAGCAAATCCTGCCATTTCCATGCTGCCACATTCACATGTGTGCAAATGGAAGCGAATGGAACAAGAAGTCTAGTGTGGCCACACCTTTAGCCTGGAAGGCAACAGCTCAGATTTGAAGGGTGACTTCAGTGTAAGGGAGAATGTGAAAGAGAACAATCTAGAACTGTTTCTAGGCTGGGAAGACCCATACTTACTTAACTATCATTTACAGAATGGAAAACATGACACTCTGCTTAGCTATGGCTATACTTCATAAGGTATAACTTCAGGCCAAACACAGAGTCAACTTCTCTTTCTTTATCTTAGCCACACCAGTAGTTAAATTCTCATTGACACTGTGTTTCTGACATTGAATCAACCTTGCAAAGCCTCTAGGAAGTGAATAATGAGTCACAGAACAAAACCAATATTGATGGGAGGAAATCAGGGTTAATTCTGGTGTTATGACCCAATAAGCACTTTCTGGCTCTTTTTAATGACTGATTGGGCAGCGCTAAATAACATCACTTCCTGTTTGAATGCCAGCATTGTAGGGACAGTGCACCCACTATCCCTACAATGCCTTACAAACCTGCATGACTTTCTTTCCACTGCGAAACTAACCAAAATAACCTATTTTGAGAAATGTCTTAATGTTTCATTTGTCCATACAATGGAAGTCAATGGTAACTGAAACGTTTATTTACCAACATTCTTCAAAATATCTTCTTTTGTGTTCTGAAGAAAGTAAGTCATAAAGATTTGGAACATGTGGGTGAGTAAATGATGACAGATTTTTTTATTTAACTATCCCCTTAATAAGGGCATTTCATATCAGTCAGGATCACATTATTTCGGAAGGCTGCAAACTTTTGTGCACAGAGGAGAAGTGGGCCAGTGAAGAATTTAGGGTTGTCAGTTTTTTTTGGCTGCCTCATTTAAGTGTATAACAGTGTGAATGAATTTACAAAGTTATCTTTTTAAAACTAATTTTGAAAGCTGAAGTGTATAGGCAAATATCTGACAGAACTTTGTAGGCTGATCTCAAACAGCACAAATATGCCAAATAACAAAACTAAATTGAAATTTTAAAACAAAAACACAAATGAAAGAAATCTCTTCATATAAACAAACTAAGGCTTTGTCTGTGCTCTTTCCATTTAAAATTAGAGGCAACCACTGCAATTTAAACACAATCCAAACAAAGATGCTGCATACATGCAGCATAAGCCGTTTTTAATCTAAATTGGATTGTATTTTTTTTAATTTGAAGCAAAAACGGAATGGTCTGACTTTTGTTGTGTGACAGCAGAACAGCAGACAGGCTGAATACGATGCGGATTCACTCTCTGAAAGCAGGTGGTGCTTATGGAACACGCAATATAACGTTTACTTGGTTACCGCTGTACACAAAGCAGTGCTACGTGTAAACACCACTTTAATATGCATTATACGGAGATGAGATAAAATAAAATACCATCTAAACTTTTCTAAAGACAGTCTGTTCCCCTTAGAGATACATTCATATAAACTCCCACATATCGCGATTCATTTAGCATCTCAACCGATTTGAATCGTCACATATTTGTATTGATTTTCAACTGGCTCGGGGGCATCATTACATTCCTATTCATTTCTCAAATAAATCAGTGTTGTTAAATGAATCAGTTCGGTAAATGATTCAATGACTTATACTCATAAAAACAGTCGCTTACTTCATTCCTGAATGAATCAGTGTTGTTGAACAAATCGCTTCAGTGAATGATTCAATGACTTATAAAGTCAGTCACTTATTTTTTCCTGAAGAAAACAGTGTTGTTAAATGAATCAGTTCAGTGAATGATTCAGTGACTCACTCATAAAGACAGTCGCTTATTTGGTTCCAGAATGAATCAGTGTTTTTGAACAAATTAGTTCAATGAATGATTCAATGACTCACTTAAAAATAGTCACTTATTACATTGCAAAATGAATAAGAGTTGTTGAACGAATCATTTCAGTGAATGACTCAATTAATAACTCATAACCTACTGGGTGAAACAATTTAACCTGCAGAAAGAGTTACTTAAAAATCTCACCACTAATGCACAAAAAAAGTCCCAGAATGTAATATAAAGATGCATGCCATTTCTAGGAAAACAATCATTAAATTAGATAAGTTTAAAATACGGTTACAGCATACACACTAAGACTGCAGTTACAGTTAGACTGGATTGTCCTGTGTATAATTTCCCCATATTTCATCAGTTCATTCTCAGTGCATGGTCACATTGATAGTGCACATTCTCTCTCTTCCCCTTCCCACGTGTAGGGAGCACGGCAGATGTTTCCTTTCCATCCTTACATCCCTAAACACATTAATACGCACAAATACAGTACAAAGACACAGAGCTACTCCACTCAAACACAGCTCAGCAAACACACACCAGACCTACAGCACACACATGCTCTAGTAGATTATCTCCACTGCCACTTAACAAACACACACTCCTGAGAGGTCCATAGTATAAACACACAGCCACAGCCTAGAGCTCGCTCGTCGCCTAAAAAGGTTTACAGCAGCAGAGACGCCTCGCTCCAACAACTCACACCCCAAGAGACATTCATGCCTCAGAAAAACTGATCAGATTAGTTGGACAGAATGATACAGATTCATGAACAGAGACACTTAAGGATTCTCTATCACCAGCTCCAGAACTATAAAATCTGACTTTTAAAGACTCACAATACAAGAATGTGTTGATTACGGTTGATTTCGACAGCTAATTAAACAGGATCAGTTCCTCTTCTGACTTGACGCTCTTTTCTAGTGGTGAGGGAATTACAATTTATGGTGTGAACGATTAAAAAGTAAGTGTATCCTTATAAACAGCTGTGCAGATAATATTTCTATATTTAATATGTATAATAATTTATATACTGTTATAAGAAACTCTCAAAAAGCAATAAATTCATAAACACCTTTGCCGGAGAATAATATGGTGATGGCATACATGGCAAAACAGTATTGTTTGGTTTGTAATTTTTTATTCATTCTTAATGATCATATATCACATTTCTACAATGGCATCCCAAACTGAAAACGTTTGCTTTTGCATGATGCAACATCCATTAAATTTCATATAAAGATGTATACATTTTTGAAACTTTTTATTGAGTCAAAACGTCAGTTTGTGACCACTCCATTATTGGTCAGAAGTCTTTTTTGCTACACAAATTCACAGGTCAAAATTCACCAAATTTTAAACTTTAGTAAAGTAGCAAATCCTGCCATTTCCATGCTGCCACATTCACATGTGTGCAAATGGAAGCGAATGGAACAAGAAGTCTAGTGTGGCCACACCTTTAGCCTGGAAGGCAACAGCTCAGATTTGAAGGGTGACTTCAGTGTAAGGGAGAATGTGAAAGAGAACAATCTAGAACTGTTTCTAGGCTGGGAAGACCCATACTTACTTAACTATCATTTACAGAATGGAAAACATGACACTCTGCTTAGCTATGGCTATACTTCATAAGGTATAACTTCAGGCCAAACACAGAGTCAACTTCTCTTTCTTTATCTTAGCCACACCAGTAGTTAAATTCTCATTGACACTGTGTTTCTGACATTGAATCAACCTTGCAAAGCCTCTAGGAAGTGAATAATGAGTCACAGAACAAAACCAATATTGATGGGAGGAAATCAGGGTTAATTCTGGTGTTATGACCCAATAAGCACTTTCTGGCTCTTTTTAATGACTGATTGGGCAGCGCTAAATAACATCACTTCCTGTTTGAATGCCAGCATTGTAGGGACAGTGCACCCACTATCCCTACAATGCCTTACAAACCTGCATGACTTTCTTTCCACTGCGAAACTAACCAAAATAACCTATTTTGAGAAATGTCTTAATGTTTCATTTGTCCATACAATGGAAGTCAATGGTAACTGAAACGTTTATTTACCAACATTCTTCAAAATATCTTCTTTTGTGTTCTGAAGAAAGTAAGTCATAAAGATTTGGTAGCTATATGTGTTGTCAGGATCCAAAATAAACCAAATTACGTTAATTCATTATGTGTGGTATATACTGTACAGTACTTCACAATAATCCACCAAAATGAAAATATAATGCACCACAATGCATATTCACATATTTGGGATACGTGCAATTTCACAAAGAGATGGACACTGACAATTAAACATCATGCTAAAATTGAAAAATTCATTCAAAAATTTGAGACCAGTATATACATATTTTTTTAATTAATACTTTTATCTAGCAAGTACACGATACATTTAAAAAAGTGACAGTAAAGACTTTTACATGTTCACTTTTACAATGATTTCTGAAGGATCATGTGACACTGAAGACTGGAGTAATGGCTGCTGAACATTCAGCTTTGCCATTACAGGAATAAATTACATTTTAAAATATATTAAACATAGAAACTGTTATTTTAAATTACAATAATATTTCACAATATTACCGTTTCTACTGTATTTGTGAGCATACATGTTATACTGCATTGGAATGTGTTTGTCACTAATACGCAATAAAAAATAAAAACCCCATTATAATAATGGTGTAATTCAAAGCAAAATTAAATTTAAGGTAAGCAATATATTTTAGGTAAATTTAGTTCAATAGATATAAATATATGTCCATAGAAGATATTTTTACTGTGAGATTCAAGATGTACAACACTTGGGTTTCATGGTGTGAATACTTTTTCATGACAGCTTACACAAAGGTAATGTTAACACAGTGATTCCTTTAAAGGCTGATATTACATAAAACATACTGAAATCAGAATGTCATCTTTATCATTCTGAAAGTGCATGCATACAGTGTGTCCTATGCTTTGTAATGTTCTCACCTCCATTAGCGACATTAAATTTGATCCCAAAGTCTCCTCCTGGGCCTCCTGGACTGTGGCTTGCAGTGAGGATGATTCCACCAATGGCTTTTATCTTCCTGATGATGCAGGAGACCGCTGGGGTGGAAAGGATCCCGTTGTGTCCAATTACCAGACGGCCAATCTGAAATCAAGTTTTGGTTTTATTGGTGTGAAGTTTGATTTATCGCAGTCAATGGAGTCCAGTGTTGTTTTGGACTCTGCTGACTTACACTGTAAGAACAAAAACATAAAACTTTCTTTTAAAATATTTTATTTTGTGCTCCACAGAAGTAAGCCATACAGGTTTGAAATGACAAGTGTAAAAGTGCACTTTCTATACTTAAGATCCCGAACAGGCCCTTTGCTTCCAGACCTTCACCTGTCATGCGAGGGTTATCAGAACATTATATGGTGGGCTTTAAACCTGCCACCTTCAGAGGCGCCAGTCATGGCTACTGCTGCATACCAGATCAACAGCTACATCTGTCTGGAAGCTCATTCCTGTAGGAGTGACAAGCTGACTCGGGGACAAAACTAAACAGCAACACACACTAACAATTTCTAAGTACTCAAAAGAGTCTTGACATATCTGCCATAAACTGCAACCTCCTTTATCAAGCGTCCAGATTATTGACAGATACTTTCCTTCTAGCTCACAAGACAGCAGCCCAGACATCTCAGCAACTTTGAGAATCAACAAGATCAGCCACTTTCTATAAATAGTGAGTTATTTGGCATCCCTCACTCAAGTATTTAAAATGATGAACAAGTGCACTGACCCTAGGCTTTTTTTGTTTTTGTTTGAAGTAATATACCAATTAAATAACTCACTAGGCTCATGCTTTGCTTAGCCCGTTGCTTTTACTTGCATCTCTGATGAGTGTGAACTGTATTCCCAGCACTCTTTGAGCAGCTTATCCATATAAGGTTCTGCATTTGGATACACAGCCTCAGTACATCATGCCTCGGAGAGCTACTGAGTTTGTATGGAAGAATGGCACTGATACAAAGTAAGAGAATTAAGGATGGAAAGCTGGTTTGACTGTATTTTATAATATGAGTGGAATCAAAAAAAAATTAGAGCATCACAAACAATGACTTTGTTTCATGCTCAGACTGAACCAAACATTATATCTTCATTAGAAGCACAATAAAACACACTAGAAATGATGATGAATAGAGTTTTGGCTTATGGCCATATGTTCTGGGTTTCCCCATAGTGCATGAACATGAGAGGTCAAAACAAGGGAAGCGGCGGCGCTCCAGGAAGAGTGTGCAGGGGAGGGATGGCACAACAGATAAGACAGGATACATTTGGCCAGGCCAGCACAGAGATTTAGATCTAAAACTTTCTCTCATTACATGCACAGTTTGTGGCTTCTCAGGTTTTCCAACAAAATTCTCGGCCGTTTGGGATATCAAAATTCAGATACTCTTGAATAAAAACAGATATGACCATATATACTATAAATCCATGTAATGTTATTTTAAAATCATGAAAGTACCCATGCTGACCAGATACACATCAAATCATGCTAAAAAAATCTTGTGCGTTTTTCAAAGACAGGTGAAATGATAATAATAATGAAAATAATAAAATAGATTCATAAAAATAACAAGACTGAATACACCAATAGGTGTATTTATTATTATTTTTTTTATTAAAAAAAATTGTATTACATAGATCAGAAAATCTAGCAATTTGTTTAGGAAATTATAAATAAACAAACAAATAAATAATAAATAATGCATTTTTGATTAGACCAGAAAATCTATCATACTTCATAGGAAATTATAAATAAATAAATAGTGCATTTTTTTGTTTGTTATACAGATTAGAAAATGTATAACATTTATTAGTAAGTACGTAAGTAAATAAATAAATAATACATTTAAAGACCCAACTGGTATGTTATATTTTAATGATTTAGATCAGAAAACCTAATAAATGTATCAGAAAATGCTAATTGAATACTTAATAAATGAGTGAACTAGAAGGGCATGCTTGAGAGTTGTGTTTTTGAAGTACTAACACCATCTTACCCCGTTGGCAGCTGCCATTTGAACGATGACTTCAGTTGCAGCCCGGCTGAAGTATCTTCCATCGCTGCCCACCACCATAGTGCATCCCTGACGGTCCCTCAAGTCGATGGAGGACAGCAAACTTTGGATATAATTTTGCAGATAGTTCTTTTTACTTTCGAAAACCGCTGTCTTCTTTCGCAGCCCATTCGTCCCTGGTCTCTGGTCATCGAATGGGGTAGTTTGGATAGTCAAAATGGGTATAGGGTTAGTTTCCATGATTTTCTGGAACGATTCGGGATGTTAAAAAAAATAGTTTGTTGATAGCTGAATGAGGTGAGATGCAGTGTTCAAAATATCGTCAAACGCAACAGAGGAAGTTCACGGAGGCAGCGAGCAGGGTGCGCCACCTCGCAGTGCGCTTCAGTCCAAGTGGATTATTTGAGACGCGTCCCGTGACGCTTCTTTGGAAAGCTAGTGTGCGACAGCTGTCTTCTCATCGCACCACACAAACTGTGAAGTAGCGGCACAAAGTACAGAATAAATGGGTGTAAAACGCAAAGAGATATTCCGAGAGGAGGTCTTACGCTCACCGACACTCTCCTCCCGAGCTGTCACGCGTACGTTTGCTTGCCAAAAGGCAGGGAGGGGAGAAAAGTCTATATAATGAGCTAACGCACTAGCCAAAAATAGCCCATGATGTGGGGGAGCGAACAGTGACGGTGTGCTGCTGTGTAATCGAACGCCTCTACTGTCCGTGGCGCACAAACAGAAATGTCATAACATCCATAAGATTAAGCAACATTAATTAAACAAGACAAGAAGGAATGAGGTAAATAACAAACTGAGCAAATTTCCAATGCCGAAACAGAAAAGGGAGACCGAGGCTGGTTGGCACAACAGTAACTATGGGTTCGAGTCCGTTAAACAAATGCGTGTCAGTTATACTAAAGTCAAGTTAAACACATGTGTTCTGCAGCAGTGGATTTGTGTTGGTTTCACCTCCCGAGCTGTCACGCGTACGTTTGCTTGCCAAAAGGCAGGGAGGGGAGAAAAGTCTATATAATGAGCTAACGCACTAGCCAAAAATAGCCCATGATGTGGGGGAGCGAACAGTGACGGTGTGCTGCTGTGTAATCGAACGCCTCTACTGTCCGTGGCGCACAAACAGAAATGTCATAACATCCATAAGATTAAGCAACATTAATTAAACAAGACAAGAAGGAATGAGGTAAATAACAAACTGAGCAACTTTCCAATGCCGAAACAGAAAAGGGAGACCGAGGCTGGTTGGCACAACAGTAACTATGGGTTCGAGTCCGTTAAACAAATGCGTGTCAGTTAAAGTCAAGTTAAACACATGTGTTCTGCAGCAGTGGATTTGTGTTGGTTTCAATCTTCTAATTCAAAACCCTTTTAAATTACAATGATTTTGTGAATTCTGTTATTTTAACTAAATTCAGTATCATATTTTGTAAGCTCTTGAGTAAACAAGTGGACACAATAAAACCACACTGATATCAATTCAAACAACAGTCAGCTATGTAATTAGATAGAGTTTAACTGAAAGGTTGAACTGTCTTCTAAGGACAAAGACATTTTTCATAAATGTCAGGTCGAGGCAAGGTTACATGCGTTTTTTACATTTTATTTCAAGTAGGCTAGTCGATATCTTTTTGATGGCCAATTGGTTTGATAGGCTATATGTGTTACTTTTTACATTATTGTTGTTTCAGTAATTGTTTTAAGGCATGTAGCCTATCCAAATTGACTTTCAAAAAATAAGCTATCATAATAATATATGGAGTGAAAAGCGTAACAGCGAAACCATATTTGTTTTCGTTGTAGATGCATTATTTGACTTATAACACTATAAAGTGAAGTCAAGTAAATCAGTCAAATTAACCAAGCAAGCACATGCGTAATGCATCGAGTGCGACTGATTTCACGAGCTTCAGTCTCCATCTAGTGGACATAAAAGAATAGAAAATGTCTTGCAGGCAGTGATGGGGAGTCTGTAGACTATTGCATGCAACACGCTGTTACCAGCATTCTAGTTTTGAAATGTTGTATCTAACGCGCATTCATGCAGTCTTTAACATTGTGTAAAGAGCTTTAACTTTAAAACTTTTTAGTGAGAGGGCAAGAATACAATTTAAAGTCAGTTAAAAGTTTAAAGTCCCCCCACCTCTTTTTATACAAGTAGCCTATTTTTAAGTTTTTTTTATTATTAAATATAGGCTACATTGCTCAACATCCCAACGTAAAATTAAAGCGATCTTAAATTAACCAGTCTTTTTCTTTTCTATTCTTTTCGACAAATGAATGAGCAAAACGCACTATTTCGTTTAGATAGCCTACTATTTGGGCTTTATGGGAAAAAAATCACGATATCACAATTGCTCAAATGAACACGAACAACACGAAGGCAAATTGAGATTTGACGATGATGGTTTATTTAATACAAACAGGCATTTTAATACATCCAACTTTCCAGGATTTTAGACTAGCAAATATATTACCATTTATTTATTTACATTAAATTTATCATATAAGAGCAATGACAGACACATCTTATGTTACAAGTCTATTTCAAATGAATTGGTGAGTTTTCCAGACACAGTTCAACAGTGCGGATACACCATCCGCAGAGTTTCTGTGAAAGGAACAGTCTTTAGCAGAGGAGTCCTTGCTGGCACTGGTAACAAACTTGGAGTCACACATGATGTCGGCCTGGGAAATACATAACTATAGTCAGGTGTGAGATGATGAGGAGAGTTTTTGTGAGGAGACGCCGTTGACTTGGCCATAATGCTGTCAATGCTGAACGAACACTTCTGGGTCTTGTGCTCGGGTCTTTGCTGGATTTCTGGAGCTTCGTGGACCTTAATGTTGAGAGTCTGATATTGGAAATATGGAGGTGGCACCATGATGCCATCCGGCACTGGCAAATATCCAATAGGATTAGCCTGGGCTGGAACCGGCCCAGAGACGCAGTAAGGTCGCCCATATGCTCGATAACTTAACGTTGGGTGGTAAAGCACCAGGTTGTCTTTGGTGAACTCGGGTTGGTTCCTCTTAAATCTTTTCCTTCTGCGCAGAAAGCTGCCGTTGTCAAACATGTCCTCAGATGCAGGGTCCAGGGACCAGTAGTTGCCTTTCCCCGGGTTTCCAGGCTCTCGTGGGATCTTGATGAAGCAGTCGTTGAGTGACAAGTTGTGCCTGATGGAGTTCTGCCACGCGGGGAATTTCTCCTTGTAGTACAGGAACTTGTTGCTGATGAAGTCGCAGATGCCGCTGAGGGTCAGCTTCTTCATCGGGCTCTGGAGGATCGCCATGGTTATGAGGGCGATGTAGGAATAGGGAGGTTTGACGGCGGAGGTCTGCTTTGGAGCGGTCGCGGCGGAGAAGCTGCTCTCGCTCTCTCCTGAAGACTCGGACCCCGAGTGATCCGCCTCCGTGGGGTCCCTGCAAGGCATGATGAAATACTCTCGGTCGCTATCGCTGTGGTCTCCTCCGACGATGTCTATTTCGTCGTCTTCAGAAGAGACGGGGGTGCGCTGCACTTCTTCGTAATCCTGGGAAAGGGTCATGGTTGGAGACCCCAAATGTGCTGGACGCGACTTGTGGCTGGTGAAGCTTGTGGCCGGTTTGCAGGACTCATGGAAATGAGGGCTATTTATGAGAGGCCACACGCATTCTGTCTTTGGTCCTCCGATGGTCAGACCAATAGGGGTGGAGTGTCACCGCAGGGATTCAGGACAGTCAGGCAGGTGTGGCGGGCTTTGACCTGCTTAAACTAAACAATCCGCATATGAGATGAGGATCCTAAACACCCAATTACAGCATCTCAAACTAAGGAGATGGCGAAATAAAAGTGTACTATATCAGTCAAAGTTAATAACATATTACTTTTTTTAGGACCAGCTTAAACGCCAACGTGAAAGATACATTTCCCCCTTTTATCAGGCTATACTGAGACTTAGACAAACGTATTGGCAATAAGATTTTTATGCTGGCCTTTTGTTTGTTAAATAAGGAACACAATGCAAAACGTTTTTTTATGCTGAATAACGTTCAGTATTAAAGGTCTTCTTAGCTTTATTATTGCAGTATTAAATTGATACAATTTATTTTAAAATGCACTTTAAAATGTCAAATATTTTTAAACGCATGTGCAAGTTTCATGCATATTTAGAAAAAAATAAATAACGTTTTTTTCAAACTCATAGGCTATTGCCTAGATTTTATTATTAATGCAGTCTTTTAAAATAGGCCTATATTTGTGACGTTTTCTTTAGGTTATTTGACCTAAGCTTTGGAGCACATGACAAAATGTTTTATTTTAAAATAAAATATAAATATAATATATTTTTTGAAAAATTTAAAAATGTTAATAAAATATGAATATAAAATAAAAGACTCAATCCTTATTTTAATAGGCTACATAACGATCAAATACATTGGTAAACTAATTCAAGCTTTAGTAACCACCTAGACAATTCTAAAAAAGATTATAATAATAAATCACAGATTTATTCCTTGGTTAATATGTTTATTTAAAGTGTTTTAGATCCGGACAAAAAATTAGCCTCACGTCAATTAACCTTTTCTTACAAAAGCCACGTAGTTCACTTGCAATACAAACAGAGTCGTTATATTTGAGATGTCCTTTAGGATTCCTCTCCAATTCAGAAGCAGCGTAGCGCAGTGGGAGCTGGGACTTGTGACGGTGAATTTTCACACCACGCCTAACTACCGGTTTAAAAGACTGATTTCCCCCCGATACCCCCTGGGTTTCGTTTGGTTTGTCACCTCAAGATACCCGCAGGTGGTGCGACCATGAAAATGGCCATGGCCCGGCTCCCCGCATTGAATATGAATATAAAATAAAAGACTCAATCCTTATTTTAATAGGCTACATAACGATCAAATACATTGGTAAACTAATTCAAGCTTTAGTAACCACCTAGACAATTCTAAAAAAGATTATAATAATAAATCACAGATTTATTCCTTGGTTAATATGTTTATTTAAAGTGTTTTAGATCCGGACAAAAAATTAGCCTCACGTCAATTAACCTTTTCTTACAAAAGCCACGTAGTTCACTTGCAATACAAACAGAGTCGTTATATTTGAGATGTCCTTTAGGATTCCTCTCCAATTCAGAAGCAGCGTAGCGCAGTGGGAGCTGGGACTTGTGACGGTGAATTTTCACACCACGCCTAACTACCGGTTTAAAAGACTGATTTCCCCCCGATACCCCCTGGGCTTCGTTTGGTTTGTCACCTCAAGATACCCGCAGGTGGTGCGACCATGAAAATGGCCATGGCCCGGCTCCCCGCATTGAAAAAAGAATGCCGGTAAACGAGCCTATCAACATCAGAATCAAATAGGAAACGGCGCAGCTTTAGCCTACAGGCCAGGAGCGAGTTTTATTGGAGGGCATGAATGAGCGCAGCAATCCTCAAAGCAAACCTTCTTGTGCGCGGATATGTGTTAAACTCTTCACAGTCATCTCAATTGCAAATGAAAAGGTGCGTCCACTTCCTCAGCTGTGGATGGTGTGGAAGTGGATGCATGTAAATTTACGAGAGCACTTGAA